ACGCGTTCTCTGTAGAGATCGTGCGATTAAATTTTTATGCTAGTTGCTTGCAACGAATACACATGTTGTTCCAAAGAAAATCGAAATAGACTCTGTTTTCTCCGTTGAAAATAGAAACGAGAGAGGAATATATACTTTTATACGGCGCATCGTCATTTATCACGCTCGACACATTTTCCTTCCTAGACTTCAGAGACTTGTCGTTATTGTCGCGATAAAAAGTTACGGAAACAGAGAAGTCATAACGGAGTATATGCGAGACATATATAGATGCAACGATACATTGTACATACATAACTACACGGGCATAAACCAGTAATAAAACGCAAACTTTGTACATGGTGTACAAAAGTATATAACTCTCTAAGAGCAGCGCGATTCTAAAGTGCTGCTATCGATGATACCTTTCTCGGGTATCTGCACACGCGAATGATCATTTGTCAGACGCGAATTATTATGCCGGATGCACGGAAAATAGGAGCGAAATTATAGCATAGCCGTCGTATTATCAATTAATTTCATACTGCATGTTTACGTTCTGATTTATATCTTCGCGAGAAGATTCCTCAGGAAATGTGTCGCGTTTTTTCTCTCCCTTTGCGCAGGAAATTTTTAATTTTTGACAGATGCAAATAGCGTATAATATATATATATGGTAATCATTTTTCCTTTATTTTAGAGAACAGTCCTTTAAGTAACTACCCTTTAGATTTATTCATTTTTTTAAAAACTCATCTTTGTTTCTAAAACGTTGTCCTTTATATTACAACTTTGGTATTTATTTTTTATTTAGCATTTTAATGTCAAATGTAGTATTAACACGAGAATTAGTGCGAATATAACGGAATTTATTTAAGAGATCGAAAATTTTTTCAACATAGTCGAATTAGTTTTAAACTATAAGAATACGTAGACTTCTGATGGTCACAGAATTATTTTTTTTGCTCGATCTCCACTTCCTATACTTTTTCTCAGAAAATATGGTCATCGTAAATATATATATGTATGTATTTATTTTTTTGGCTTATAGTAGATGACGTACGTTGCATCACGTATGCTATTCTTCGGTGTCGTCCACTCGTCACGCATACGTCATCTCTTTTTTTATTTCGCTGTATAGACCGCATTGAGAACTAATCGCGCGTGTATAAACCGGAAGTACCCCTGGGTTCTCTCCTAATGTGTCTGCATGACACAAGGCACGTCGCGGAAGTGCAGCTCATGAAATGCAAATTTTCCCGGGTGCTTTAATGAATAGAGGTGTCGATGATGAAGGGAGAATATATTATATAACTTTTTTTCAATACTTCTAATGATACGTCACGATAATATGTATATAAAATTAAAAAAGAAATTACATCACACATCATATTAGGTATAACTATAGTAACCATCCGTCCTTTATTTTAGAGGATGCAGTCTTTTAAATAGCTGTTCTTTAGATTTATTTATTTTTCCAAAACTCATCTTTGACCTTTATTTCAACAATTTTGTCCATTTATATTATAATTTTGCTCTTTACTATTTATTCAGCGTTTTAATGTCTAATGTCATAGTATTAACATGGGAATTAGTACGAAAACAATGGAACTTCTTCCATCCGGAACCTAAATAAAAACCAAGGATTTGTTTCAACATAATCGAATCAATTTCAAATTATAAGAATAATGTAGACTTCTGATAGTCACAGAATTATGTTTTTGTCCTTTATTTTCTCTCAGAAAATATGATCACCGTATAACCGAATAACAGGACACACAATTTCAGATCGAATATACCAAGAAATACAGGTTCTAATGAATTTATCATTTAGACGAACAAGTTATAATGACGCTCGTGTATCTATTTCAAGGATATCTTAGGATGATTGGGATAGAAAGTACCGAGTCGTGTCAGTATCGAGCGGAGAAATCAGGAATGTCGGTCGATCTTTCCTCTTCCGCGCCGATGATGCTGTCCGAAAGCCTGATGCAGCATCGCGTCGTATCTGCCACGGTTCGCTATGGCAGTTACGTGAAATAACGCAATATTCGACGTCCGCGAAGATGCATGCGAGCATGCATGCACACGCGAGAGAGAGACTTTCTCCAATCTCGTAAAGTTCCAGCTTATTTCGCCCGCGCATTTTTCTCGCCATCCGCTGATTCTTCGACGTCGAGCGAACGATGTAATCTTCGATCTCTCGCTCTCCTCCGCGTGTCGATTTTACATATTGTGCGCGACATTTCCATCGCCGGCTGATAGTAACGGTAACCTTCGAGAATCGAGAAGACGGGCGTGCTGAATAAATTATTTTGTTTATTTAATACCCGATACAGAAGTGTCAGAATACAGAATAGTTATACGTTGGTAGAAGAAACAAGAGTAATGAAGGACACATTTTATTTTTTTAACGGGCAAGTCCGCAGATGCAGAAGTTTCAAGAATTTATTTTTCGTTGAAACTAATGTGTACTGATTTTTCTTGGTACGATAAAAAATTAAAAATTCGAAATTTTTAATTTTAATAAACGTTTTTGATCCTGAAGAAGCGTATCAGGGTGAAATGGTTGAAATACGTAAAGAATCTTGGATTAAATACATAGGATTTTAGCTTTCGGAACTGGCTGTTTTCTTTCATATATTGTAGTTTATGACTTGCTGAGCAAAAGATGTAGTAGCTTCAAAGCTAAATATTCGATAGTTACCGAGTTACAACCAGTCAAACAACTTGCAAAGTTCTAATTTGTCGTATTTGACTGGCTGTAAATCAGTAACTGTTATTTAACTTTTTGAGCCTATTACATATTTTCTTCAGCAAGTCACAAGTTACAACAGCTGATTTTATTGGGATTTAATTTCGTCTAGCATTTTATAGATCCAAAAATCCTGTACTAATTATTTAAAATTGAATCTTGATAAGATCAGCTGATTTTCTCATATGTTGTAGCTTATGATCTGCTGAACAACAACTGTACCTAATAGGTTCGAAGCTAAATAATAGGTAATTACTGATTTATAACAAGTCAAATACGAAAAACTTGAGCTTTATAAGTAGTTTGACTGGTAACTCGGTGACTATTCAATATTTAGCTTTGAGGCTATTATATCTTTTGTTCAGCAGGACGTAATCTCTACAACATATGAAAAAAACAGCCAATTCCACCAAAACCTAATGTGTTTAGGGCGTTCGTTCTTCGGAGCACTTTCGCAAACAACATATTTATTTCTCTATGTCATCGTAAAGTAACAATTATCGTTGAGAAATAATGATGTGAGGAGAGAAAAATTTGAAAGGAAGATGCAAGAGATGACGGAGAATAGAAGCGCCGAGATGCGCGATAACGTCCATTCCAAGAAAGCTGTTTTCGCCCGCCTTCTTCTTTTTACCTGTGTGTGCAAATCATCACGTCACCACGAGAGCATGAAAGACTGAAATCCGGGAACCTTGACGAGAAGTAAAAAAATAAATAATAACAGGCGGCCTTCTCTCTTCTGTCTCGCGGCAGCCGATCGCGAAGAGAAGTTAATTCCGTTCTTTCTCTCTCGTTTTCTCTCTCTCTCCCTTTTTCTCTGTCTCTTTTCTCCCAAGTGCATTCTCAATGATGAACTCGATATTACTTATATATGATCGTTAAAACTGATAACTGCTCATTTAATAGACGCTGTAAAATGACGAAAGGAACTGACGACTACGTATTATATTAGTGAATAATATTACGGTGTCATATTACTGTCCCGATATTGCAATTATCCTGATTGGTCGGTTTCTCTTCTTAAAGAAAGAGAAAGAGTCTCCCAACGGATACCATTAGTCGGGCGATAAATGAAAGATCCGTCGTATCTTTTCGCGGCCGCAAAAAGCTTTGCCGAATACCGATCGTCAGACATCGACAACGGTAAATCGTACTTGGAAACTTGCGGAGAGATCGGCTGGTCTGTGTTTGTGTGTGTGTTACTTTGTAAAGAATCTCCCGCGTTACTTTTTTCGACGCTCGGATAAAGCGTAACATAAGTGACTCTTTGTTTTACACTCGTCCACCCGTATCGTGTACATTCGCAACAGTTTTTATTGCTTTTTTGCCCGTTTAAAAAAAAATCAGTATGTACCCATCCTCCCTTTAGGTCTACAATTATGTCAGAACCATGAGTATCAACATGAATTTTTTTTATTTACTTAGTAATTTTAACCTTCCCTTACTGCGGTACCGTTAGCAATGTAACGTGTTTATGATTAGTGCAAATTTTATTAGTACACATTTTGCAATATATACTACTAAAAAAAAATAAGAAACACTTTCTATCCTAAAAACTGTGTTATTTTCAAACCACTGAAATTCGATGAAATGTCATTGTAGATTAAAAATTAAAAAAACATTTTGAAGCTTGAAGTTTCAACTTCAACGTCGAATCGGTAGTTAAAAATTTTTTTGTGTAACTCGATTAAAAAGAAATCGTAGAAAAATTTTAAAAGTAGCGTTTTATAGGCAAAATATTGTATTTTATAAAACTTGAGCAGAATTTTTCGAAAACAATTTTTTTATCGAAATTTAAAGTGTCAAAATGCGTAATTTAAAAAAAAAGTTGAAACTTTAAGCTTCAAAATGAGTTTTTAATGTTTAGTCTACGATGATATTTTGCCGAATTTCAGCAATTTAAAAATAATATGATTTTTTAAGAAAAATGTTTCCTATCTTTCTGAGTAGTGTATTTTTTAAATTAAATTAAATTGATAATAAATCGAAAAGGCTCTAGTGTATAAATGCAAATTCAAGACGGCAGACTTGTTAAAATATTTCTTTACTTTTTCTAAAAACTCAGGAACCTTGTATACCCTGTATTAGTTTTTAGTCACCTACTGAAGATGGTTCAAAAAAAGGAAATGAAATGTTCGATTTAAATATAGAGAAATAATTTGTAACGAGTCTCCTACGCCTAATTTTTGCGCTTTTGGCTCTCACCAGCCTGTGTATTTCTATTCATTTTTAAATAAAATATTTTCAATCAATTTTTTGCAGTTAGACTCAAGATGTTCAAACGCTTGTCAAAATCGAGGCGCCATAGCGCCGACGACGTTGCCCTCTCCTTATCGGGTTCCGTGGACGAGCTGTCGGGGAGTTCGATGCCGCGTGACAACAGTCATCAGGATCTGAGCACTGCCGGCTTGCTGAAAATGTCCAGGTCCAAGTATTCGCGAAGGAGCTGCGGCGACGCGGACGCGATGCAGACGTTGCTCGAAGTGAAACAAGACGGTCAGCAGGATGTCATCGAGGCTGACTATCAGACGGTTACGGCGGTGCCGGCCTTCATCGTCGAGCATCACGATCCGGGTAAGCAGTCTCGAGGTAAGTCGTCTCCATGATGATGATGATGTTTATCTGCGCGTGTCTCGACGGTGAAATCAATTCGATGCCTTATCGCGCTTCATTAATTATGTGTCTCTTTCTCTCGTTATTCCTTTCGATTTCTCTCTCAAATCGTTCTCGCTCTTTTTTTACCATAAGCAAATCGAAAGTCTTAGCAGTTCTAGCACAAGGTTCTATATAGATAACGAGTAATCTCATTTCTTCTCGGAGAGAAACCTAAATTAAATTCGTTAGATGAAATCGAATAATTGTTTACGTGTTATGTTTTAAAAATTATGTATAAAATTCCCGATTTGCTCCGATATTTTTTTACGAGGAGAATTTTTTATTAAAATAAAAATTTCGAATTGAGATATTTAATTATTTGGAGAAAATGGATGCCCCTCACATTGAGAGTCTCATGCTAAAATTCCTTAAATAAATAAAATCTAATAATTCTGTTATGTTTTAAAAATAATATATAAAATTCCCGATTTGCTCCAATATTTTTTTACGGGGAGAATTTTTGATTAAAATAAAAATTTCGAATTGAGATATTTAATTGCTTGGAAAAAATGGATGCCCTCACATTCAAAGTCTTATACTAAAATTCTTAGTTGTACGTAAAATTACAGTTTGACATTTCGGTGAACGCGAGCGTGTACATCGCGTGCGAAAGCGTTCACGAACCCAAAACGATCGCAAACTACTACTTCGAACAATACGGTATACACGCCGACGTCGTCGTGTAGCGGATCTGAGTAATAATACTTTTGAAACTGGACTCCATGCTCCGGTGACTTCAATGTCTCCTCCCGCTCGGAGTCTCGGAGCGGCAGCGATGCACAAAAAGTACCGGCGGCGTCGTTTTGCTACCGACATCACCGATCTTGCTTCTGTTTCGAACGGCCGCGAATTACCGCTAATCCAGGAAAACATCGCATCCTTTCACTAATCACTCGCTTGGCGCAGTTGCCTCGTTAGAGCTTCGTGCTCCGACATACTCGCGAACGCCGATGTTTGCGTTCACCACTTGCTTTAGTTAGTAATACCATCATCGAAGATAATGATACTAAAATCTTTTTCCTGTGTGTATATATAATTTAATAGAAAGTTTATTCAACTCTTCTCAAAGGATCGAATTAACAAAATCATCGAAATTACCAAATATCTGTATTTTGCGACAAGTAATCAAGATATAATTATTAACTCAAATTTTAGTTTAATATTTTTTTCGGAAATTGAGCTTGAAAATTGCATACAATATAATATTAATAACAATGTAATAATTATATAATATTAATTAATTTAATTAATATAAAAGTTATTATTTATATATATTTTATATAATACCTATATGTGATATAAAATAGAGATTATATAATATAAATTATATATTATATAAGTTTATGCATCCTTCCTTAGAAGGTATTGTTAATATTACTTGTACAATAATCTGTAAATTGATAAATACTCTTAAAAAATGCTATTATAAAAGATGACACATTGGAAAACAAATTTATTGAATTCAAATAAATATTTATTTCAGTATTTTGTTTATAAATCATTTATTTGAAACTAATAATATTGATATATGATGTGAAAAATATTTCTATTTGATGAAAGAAAATACTTTTTAAAACAGATAAATATTTTTTATTTGTTTCAAATAAAGCAATATGGAAATAAATATTTTTTAATTTAATTGTTTTATCAGTGATACGGGGTAAGTTAAACATTGCGTTCTCCTCCCCTTTTGCATTGTACCGTTCGATCGCAAAACACGTGTGTCCGATACTGGAGAACAGCCTTTTAATCGTATCTCGTTATGTAGAACCGATGTGGACCCGTTAGCCGGGGTGACACCTCGAAAAAGTAGTCCCAAACTACGCGGAACCGCTGCTACGCGAGCTCGTATATGGCGACCACAAATCCCAAGAACGACCTTATGTCGAACGCGGGTGGTTTTTCGTTCCACGCGCGTGTGTGATGGCACGCTACCATTTCAATGTCTTACTCCCTTCCACCTTTTCGCCGGTCCTCGTCGAAGAGCGTTTCGCGTAAAACAAACCCGTTCTCATTATCAGATAATTATTGGATAATTTTATTTTCTTCGTTAATTGGCGATAAATATTGTGCAATATGAAATATGCATTAAATATGTTAAGAAGTGAATATTTCACATCATTTAAAATGTTTTTTCAAATATTTTGTTGCATTTTATTATCGCAATAATTATTTATTAAATTATCGAGATACATCGTATACATATTATTATATTTTAATTACTAAATATCTCTTAATGTAGAATTTAATAAAAAATATATAAATATAATGAATTATTAATTATGAATTATAAATTATAACGGTAATATTATTTCATTTCGTAGTGTCGGGTCTAGGAATTTGGGGTCGCAGGATGGGCAGGAAGATCGATTCGTTTCGACGGACCAGATCTCGCGAGACAATCTGTTCCATCGCAGAAAGATCCGATAGTCTCGATCACAACAGTATCAATAATAATAACAACATCAACAACAACGATACTTGTACCAGCAACAACAATATCAACATCCAACAACTGAGTCAGCTGCACCTGGACGAAAAGCTGAACAGGAAGTCACCGACGGTTTGTAACCGAGCTCCATCTCCGTTCAAATCGTTCTTCATACGAATGGGTTCCACCGGAATGCTTAACTCGGCCAGAGCCAACAGAAGGTCTCAGAATATCGACGAGAGAACGAAACTACCGGACAAGGAGGGTTTGTTCCGGAGCTGCAGCACCAGTCAATTGAACAGCAGTCCGACCTACGTGAAGGGCGACGATCCCTCGGAAGGTATAGACCTGCAGATAGCCGCGCGAAAGGACAAGACGGTGTCCTGCGACGATCTGGCGAATCATCGAAGCGACGAACAGGGTGTCTTCGAGGCTTCCTGCACCTCTCCGTATTCCTTGAGCGGCTCCTCCGTGAGCTTCAGCACTTGCGACCTCGGACAGACCAAGGACGAGTCGTTGATGAGGAAGAGCAGCAGTTGCGACCTGAAAGAGGCGAAGAAATCCAACTTCCCGTACGCTTTCCTGCGATCGAAACTCTCCGTTCTGCCGGAGGAGCGTCACGGACCCTCGTTCACCAAGGACGAAAGACTCTTCAAGACAGTCTCGGAAGAGCACTTCCCGACCTTGCAGATCGAGGACTCGTACATCAGTACGACGACTCTTGGACGGAAGAGATCCAGGATCGGTTACAACGGCCGAGGCGACAACGCGAGGAATCGGGAGACGGCCTCGCGACCTAGTCGGACTTCTTGCGCGGAATTCCAAAGGAATTCCAGCAGATACGAAGCCAACAGGTACAGCCTGAATGCGAGCCGCCTCGAACGAATCGAGGCCGGCTTCCAGCAGGAGGGTGTCGCGACCTGCTACAGCCTGTTCGACAGCAGTTTATTATCCCTTCGGGAGAACGTCGAGTTTCATGTCGAGGATGCCGCACGCGACAAGGACTTTACCGGTAAAATGGAGCTTGGAATTGCCTCGGAGGGTTGCAACGTGGACCTCGACGTGATGGCCGCCATCAGGAACAACCGGCGGAATTCCGTGTCGAGCTGCGAGCAGAGACTGTCATCTCACTACGTCAGTTCGAATGAATCCGGGTACGATAGCGACGGACCGCGAGGTGAGCCCGTAATAGCTTCCGAGAACGAGGGACTGGGTCTCAAGTGCAGCTCCGACACCAGCAGCGTCATGGACGCGGAAACGGAAAAGCCGATAAGGAGCTCGACGCCCAGCGAGTGCCAGGATCAAGATGCTGGGAAGATTCTGAGGCGGAATTGCGACGAGAGCAGATCGGACGTGATCTCTCGGATGAGCATCGAGAGACTCGACGGTCTCAGGTGGCACCGGAGCGGTTCCGGAAGGATGCTGCCCAGCATTCACGGGACGTCCTTCGAGGAGGAAGCCGTGTCGCGGCTGGAGGACACTCAGCTTCCGAGTTGCGAAGATAGACTGAGTCTCTTGGCGAATACGAAGACGCTGGACGTCTCGCCTCATCGCATGAGGTTGCAGCAGGATAAAACCAGATTTCTCAGCGATATCATTCAGCCCTTAACGCGGGTACGGCGATGCTGTCCGATACAGTTGCACAAGAGGGAGCCTAAAGAGAGTCTAGGGATTCGACTGGCGCAGCAGAAACTAAGTGATCTGCGGTACATCGTCGTACAACTCGAAAACGAGGGCATTGCTCACAGGTATGGGTGAGGAACTCGCGAAAAATATAATTATTATCTTTCATTTCTAATAATTTCATTTTATACATTTCATATATTTTTATTATTTATTACTTATATATAATTATGTTATATATTAATTATATTAGATAAATTTATTAATTATAATATATATATATATATATATATATAAAATTATAAATTAATTATTTATTATATTAATTATAAATTTCTTAAATTAATTATAAATTATAAATTAATTAATATATTATATATTATATAGATATATGTGATACAATATAATGAAATTTTTATAATATCAGCTAAGGCTTATATAAGTAATAAATCTATCCAAGCTGACTCCATCATTTCTATCGCAGGGACGGCAGGTTGAGATTAGGCGACGAGATCGTCGAGGTCGAGGGCAAAGAGCTGCGAACGTTGGAGAGCCTCGAGGAAGTTCAGGAGTTTCTGAGATCTCTTACCGGTAACACCGTACGATTAACGACGGCTTATGAGGAGACGATGCCGCAAGTATATGAAAATCCATCGTCGAGTACTTTACCCAGCGAGTACGAGTACCTGGAGAACGCGAGGAACCTCTCCGACATGTCGTTGATTGACGCGATCGAAACGAATCACGCTTCCTCTTCGTCAGGCACGGAGATGACAAAGAAGAAGAAGAAGAAGGCGATCGATGCTAGCGCGGAGTCACTTCAGCAGAGGAAGAGACCCGATTTCCTGCCGCTCGAAAATCAAAAGGACATCAAGGACAACGGCCCGGAACCCGCGACAGAATCGCAACAATATCTGACGAAGCACGTGGCCAGATTCGAAAAGGGTTACGGCAAAGCCAGCTTAGGTTTTAGCGTCGTAGGTGGCAGAGATAGTCCGCGAGGCGACATGGGAATTTTTGTGAGGAGGGTTTTTCCAGGTGGTCAGGCCGACACTTCCAAATCGTTGTTTCAAGGTAAATTCTATTTTTGAACCTGTTTCAACTTACAATCCTTAACAGCAGAGCATGTCCAAAAGACATCCAGATATTTTACGTCATCTGGATGTCTTCTGGATGTTCTCTGAACGTCTTTCGGACATGTGTGATGTTAGAGAAGCGTTTATATTCTCCGTTAGGTAATGTAAGACAGAGATGTACATTCTCGGTTTTCGCTCTGTTGCAATCTTGAGTGAACAAGTTAGACGAAAGCATTCATTGCGCGGTATTTATTACGAGATTTCAGTGTCTCGTCGTTCGAGGAATGCAGAGTCCGGCGCGTTTCTATCGAATACTTTTCATTCGGAAGCTATCGGTCGCGGGATAATGGGAATGCGCACGTTCGTCGATTCTCGTTGTATTCACGACGATATGCGAGGATCGCGCCAGAGACAGCTGTCGAATCTTTAATCCGACAGGCAACGTCGTGTGCATATAAAAACAGTTTTTCGTTTCTTTTTTTATTTCTTCGGTCCCTCTTCTTCTCGCTTTCGCATCTCTTCTCCCTTCATCGATATTCTTCAACAAGTAGAAGAAAAAAAGGCGTTGCTCGTATAGCGTCATTAACAACTCTGGTTCTCGATAGTTTTATCGCATTTTTCCAACACTTTGTACGGCTTTCTTGAACTTTTGTTACCCAAGTCATGGTCATGAGTTTTATTGGTGCGATCAGATATCGATAAAATAATTAGGGAGGTCGTTGTACGGATGCGCGTTCTTATGTTTCGAATTTCAACCGAGCCCTGATGCTTTTTACACCAACATCGCGGTTTCCTCATTGACCGCCGCTCCTTACCGCATACTTGAGTAACGGGTTAGGCTAACTGATCAGCTTGCGTAAGCGCAGGAGTGCAAAGGCATCCTCCTGCGAGAATATCATCATCCACGTCGCGAGGTCATTGACAGCCTCGAGGATCGCTTTTAAAGTCATTAAATTTTCTTAAAAAAGTTCTCACACACATATTCCTTACTATTTGTTATTAAATCGACAATGATTTTATATTAGACATATCTTCGAATTTCAGGCGATGAGATCTTAAGCTTGAATGGACAAATTTTGAAGGGACGCACGCATCAGGAAGTCATCGAATTGTTTAAGACGGTGAGAGAGGGTATCGTCGAACTAGAGATTACGAGAAGACACAGGTAAAGGCAATAATTTGTGTATCTAATAAGAATATCGTGCGAAAAAATTTTATCGTGCGTAATTAAAATGTAAGGAACAAAATAATTAAAGAAAGATACAATAATGATCATTGCAGATATCCTAGGAATACGTTGAAAAGTGCGCCGTATTAAAAAAGAATCGATGGAAAGGAAGCTGCCCACCGGAAGTGCTCTTTAGATTTAGATTTAAAATCTATTATATCGTCCATAGGAGAAAACGGCGTTTTAGGATTCTAGTCTATCAAAAGAAATCTATGACTCTCTTACGACGTGTTCTCTCTCTTTCATATAATTTATTCCGCGCGACTGCCTAATAGATTAATGTTTTATCATTAATAGTATTATTAATATTATTTTTATTATTATTATATAATATAGTGCGGTATTGTTATAACTATACATTATTATACCACATTTTTAACATAAGATTTTATACGAATAATGTAACAACGCAATAAGTAGAATCTATTATACGCATCTTTTTAATCTTATAGAGGACAATAAAGAGAGGATATACTTAGATGGTACCGTTGAAAAAAGGTACCGCATCCAGATTAATCTTAATTAAATAATTGTTTTATTTCTAGCGAATTCTGAAAATTTACAATATATACATGATTTGTATTTTACATTTTACTTTCAATATTGCCTGTCTCTCTTTCAACGATGATTTAGCGAGCCATCGATGAAACATCATATCATACGTCTCCATTACGTGTCTATCATCAAAAGATCTGCACACGACTTGGCTTTCGGCATTCTAAAGTACAAAAATAAAAATGATATAGAAGCGATGACATGAAAACAGATTTCGTTCAGTTTATTTTCTTCTATATAAATATTATTCTTTGTAATAAATATCAATATATTAAATATTGCTTGAAAGTTAACTTGCACGTTTTTAAAAGCAATTAATATATTAATTGAAATCAATTTTTGCTCAAATTAATTAATTACTAAATATAGTAACTTTTATTAATTTATTTTTAATTTTAATTAATTTTTAAGTTTTATTTTTATTAAATTAATTATATAAAATTAATATATAAACATAATATAAATATAAATAAAATATTAATAAATTATATATGAATTTATTTAGTTTATTAAATCTTAAATTAAATATCGGAGAACTTACTGCGATTCACGATTTTTCACGCGTCTACACAGGTGCAAGGCAACCGGTCCACTTTTAATATTGCGGAAGAGTTGTACGGCTTCGCGATGCGTCAAGTCGTGACAGACCTGGCCATTCACAGCCAAAATCTCGTCTCCTGCGCGCAAACGGCCATCTTCGGCAGCTTGACCACTAGGTAGTACCGACTTTATGAAGATACCTGTACAAATTGAAGAATATAAGATTGCAGGAAATATGTAGAAAGACGTGTAAGAAATTGAAAAATATATAATATTTAGTACGAAAAATATATACCGATGTTTCCTTTCGGACTGTCTCTTCCGCCAACTATAGTGAAGCCCAGAGACTTTTTCCCGGTTCCTTTCTCGAAAAGCACCGTAAGAAACGTGGACACGGTATTCCGCGGTCTTCTCGGGAGGGTGCAGAATTTGGAGATACTCTGCGTGAACGTGCTGTCTACATTCGTAGCAAATTTCTCAGACGAGATCGATCTGTTCGACTCGTCCTTCCTGTCTCGATGACACCTGGTCTGATGTTTCCTGAAGTGCGAGCTGGGCGAGCTCTCAACGATCACTCCGTGGCCATCCTCCATGCTGACGTTTTCATAATCCACGCTGCTTTCCGTCAGCCTTTTCGCTTGCTGATCGACCCCCGATAATCTCGAGATGACAATATCGACGTCACCGGGGCCGCTACCGTTACCCAGGATCTTTCTCGCCTCCGCCATAGTCAGACCGCGCAGTCTCTTTCCGTTGACGATTAGAATTTCATCGCCGATCTTCAGAGTGCCCTCTTTATCAGCCAGTCCGTTCGGCACCACGTGAGCTACCAGATAACCCGGATTGGACTCGACGGTTTTCGCGATGAAAATACCCAGGCACTGATCGGACGTCTCCTTGAGGAGCTTCACGACTATCGTCTCTGCTGTATAAGCTCTGCTTCTTACAACCTGCAAACCGGGAGTGCGCTTTTTCCGTTTAGAATCCTCATCCGCGTTTCTCTCATCTCTTTCCCGATCCGTACTATTATTCTCCGCGGAGACTCGAGTGGCTTGATCTATCAACGTGTCGTTCGCGGCTTGGCAAACGCTCGAGTACTCCTCGATAAGACCCGTCTCGGAGGCATCCTTAGTCCTGTCGTACGTATCCAAACTGGCGAACAACCGCGCGGTCCTGTCGACGTCCACAGCAGACGAAAAGAGTCTTCTGGGCGGAAGTCGAGGCGGCGATCCCAGACAAGAGTCGTTATGGCTGCTGTTGTTCAGAGCTCCCGAAGCACCGCTGCTACATCTGTCGTCCAAGAGGGAACTGGTGGCGGAATCGTTGTCCAGAATCCCCGAGTCATTATCGTCCTGATCCTGATCCTCGTAGAGCGGATTCGTCCGTAGCTCCTCGAGACCCGGCAGCGTGCCGTAAGAGAAACTACGTAGCCTCCGTCTTTCCCTGTCCTTGCAATCCTTCTTATAAATCTTGGCGATCAACTTGTTCGTCGAGCTCTTCAGATATCTATCCTGCATCGCGCGAAATTTCGCTGCCAAACAACTGGACGGAGTAACGCTGTCAAATGTCGCACCCTTCTTGAAGACGGTCTCATTGGCGTGTCTGGGTATCTCTTCCTTGGTGTCGACCGTCGCGCGATCAACGGCTGCGCTACGATTCGCGTCGAGGAAATCCCGATTGGTTCTTCCCCATCGATAATCGTGCGGCATCGCATCTTCCCGGATCGGTTCCGTCTCTCGCGGCCACTCGGGCTGCTTCCGGGGCGTCGAGGTGCGAAAGCCGAGAAAGGAGAACCGTTGTTCCTCCTGCTTCTTGTACGGTAACCTGCTCTGCGACTTGGCGCGTCTCCTCCTCTTTGCCTGGCTCGTCTTCTCCTCTTCCACCGCGCTGTCCTTCAGGTCGGACTCGCAGACCGAGCGCCGCAACTCGTTCCTCGTCAGACCGCGATGCCTCAGCTCGCACATGGAACGGAACTGGACTCGTCTCGCTTCCTCGTCGTCCTCGCCGTCGTCGTTCTCGTCCTCGTCGGAGTCGCGGTCCTTGAAGAAGCTCAGCCTGGTGCTCTTCACACGGTCCAACAGAGGGTTTCGCTTCTCGCACACTCGCCGCCGTTCCTCCTGGATTCTCTTCTTGTCCTTTTTATTGGAGGCCCGCTCGGTTGTCACTTGAGAGGTCTGCACATTGTAACAGTTCCTCTCGGACTCGGAACTCGAGGATTTTCTGCGAGCCCATCGCACCGGCGACATGTCTGCGACATAAGATAATTAAGGTAAGGAGATGTCAATAAACATTTCGGATGCGATAGTTAAAAATATTTCTGTCTTTTGATATTTAGTCTCTCTTCGTGATGAAATAATTGTTAAACTATTTGGAGCACATTTTTATCTCATTATATTGTCTCCCTAAAAATATATTTTATATTTTTATTTATTAATTCATTATATTTATTATATTAATATTTTTTATTAATGAAATATTTTTTATGTTCGTATTTATAGTCTATTAAATGAAACACCGTACGAGATTTTGAATGAATGACATACGATATAGTAGATTGTAAATTCTCATTTCTGCCGATCTGTCTAAAAGTGAAATCCGAACTCCGCGACTTCTGAATCGAAAGTGATCTTGGTTTTCAGTGCGACTCGTGACGATGCCGACCGATCTGCGAGTTCCGTCAAGTATGACGTCATATTGAGGTCCTAATGAGGTCTTGCACAGGCACAGGATATGCGTAAAACAGGATGTCCTCATGAATAATTTACTTAACTTACAATATATTCAGATAAAAACATTACTAATGACATGAAGCAATAAATATAGACACGGGAAATAAAAATATTTATATTACTTTATATTAAATTGCATGCGGAAACTTTCATCGCATTTGTCGAATATAATTGAAAATCGAATTATACAACTTTAAGGACATACTTTTTATCAATCAAAATAATTGTATAAATCACTTTTTCTGGCTGCAAAAAAAATTTTGTAATATTTAAAAATGGGGTTTTAAGCCTAGTGTTTCTTTAAAATAGAGTTTTTTAAATAAAATAAACAACAAACATATTTTGTATTAATATTGCGATTATATTGCTGATACGAAAATGCTGACTGCAGTCTTGCGCATTTATGAGGAAATCGGCCTTGTTAAAAAAATGCAAATAATAATAAAAAAAAGATATGTGAGAACATGGGCTTCGCATGTCATTACAAAATGCGTCGAAAGCTACACTGATATCAATTTAATCCCCGTAGTACTACGAGTTGTAACTTTACGAGACGAGGCGATCGACAGCAATCGAGATAATGCAGCCAAGTAATACCGCTATCTCGACTAGATGTACCATTTTCAATCTTCAAGATGAGTATGCGAGATTTGCTCATTTTAAATTAGCGTCCGTCATCGTGCGCATTGCGATGCATTTAAATCATTCTTGTTTATTCTCAATAAATAAGAACAATTTTCGCTATAAATATAAATTTATTCATCTTTACAGAGAGAATTTTCTCTTAGAATTTACCCTGAAAATCATTATTATCGTGGGACAATATTCGAAGAATTTTATCAAATATAAAATATACTCGATTAATTTTACTATGTACATATTAATATTTTTTACTATAGTAAATATCAAATCAGAGAAACTTTTATAAAATTTTTCCAGTACTATATTGTTTAATAATTACCATGATTTTCAGAATAAATTCTAAAAAAATTCTCTGCGCGTATATTTGCAATTTTAAAAACTGAAGAATGCGAAACAGTTGTAGATGTGTGTGTGTGTGTGTGTATGAGAGAGAGAGAAAGAATGTGCGTGAATCTGCATTTCATGCGTATATTATCGTCTGGAATGCGTAAACCGGATACAATCAAAAATAGATCGGACGTTTGAGTAATGCTTCGTCGTTCTTTAAATCATGTCTGACGTCAAAAACCGCGGCTACGTTTTCTCGCGTCAAAAATTCTTAGAGGCAACCTACTTCCTGATGCGAAACAGTTATGCGGTTAAATGTGAAATAAATATATCGTTCCATCTCGATCGCGCTAACTATATATATATATCAACAATTAGCAATTACTAATGTATAATTAGAAGCGAAGCGATTCATATTGTCGCAGGTTGTCATTGCCGTAGCCGTCAATTGCATTTACAGTCTTATGGGAAACGCTTATACAATCACGCATAAAGCTACAAATTGCGTCCTCGACAATGATCCTTTATATTAACGTGTATTCGCGTAGGCCGGCGGTGTCAATTTGCTCCTATTCTCGCTTTTCAACCAGTCACTCGGGACTCGGACGGAATGCTGAATCGTAATCCTTGCATTAAGAATGGAATCTAGCATCCCTCTCTCTCCCTTCCTCCCTTTCTCTTTTTCTCAAATATTACTTTGCACGCTACATACGATGGAACGACACGCAACGCATATATTCGCGACACGCGAGATGATATGATTTTCGCAAAAATTAGTCTCATTCTTGGTAACGAGAACAAAAACAAAAGATTGCGTTCTACATACATACATATACAGACGGTGGTGCAAATTATTAGAGTCGAACATATTTTTATGTTCAGATTATTTCACATTTGTGCGTTTTTTAATGGACATTTATTTTAGTTTTATTTTTCAAAAGATTAAAAATTTCTTTATTATTTTTTGACCTACAAATTATTCGGAAACATCTTTATTAGTGATAAAATCTCATACTGATGCAGCAAGCGGTTCATGTTTGTATCATATTGATATTAATTAGTTTATATATTGTGTTAGTTTTGTACAAATCTGAATAATGTACACTATGGACAATGATTTAGTTTGAATTTTAATTGAATTACACAGAGAGAATTTTTTCTTAGAATTTATCCTAAAGATCAAGGTAATCGTAGGACAATATAAAAAATTATAAAAGAATCTTCAATTTAAAAAAAAATAAAACTTAAATAAATGTAATTATTCAAAAACGCAAAATATAATTGTGAAATAATATCAATACAAAAATATATTTGAGTCTAATAATTTGCACACGTCTGTATATAAAACGCAAGAAATGCGAGAAAAAATATGTAATTAAAAATAAAATATATGATTAACGCAAGAAAGATTTAATTTATTTATTTCTAAAGATATTTTTTTATAAAAGATTAAATGCTTCGTCTGAAATAATTCTTACCTCTGCATCGAGACCTCGCGCGAAAATGATAGGACACTTCTTCATTGACATCTTCATCGGCTCTTAAGGGACTTAGACGTAAGAGTCTCGGTGCCTCGGCGTGGCCACGAAACCAACGCATATCTGCAAGAAATTGGAAAGTCATTGCGTGATCATTGATAGTCATTGCGTGAAGTTTCCGTACGTGAAAGCATTCGACAATATCTCTCGGCAACGTGCCAATAAGTAATTTTCTTTGGCGCGTTCGTCGCAAACAATCAACAATTTACACCATATTTATATAATTAAACTTTAATTCGAAATTCTTCCCTATTAAAGGAATCTTCTGTCGAATTCGTCAGAGAATCTATTGTTGTAAAAGTAAAGTCGTGAATTGTGGGATATTTTCTTTCTCTCTTTCCCTGGGTGCATATTTATTATTCTGGTATTTTTGCAATTAAGAAATATATTGCTGTGTCAAAAGATCTTAAATGAAGTAACTACTCGGTTAAGAGAGTGGAATTGTGTAAAAGTGAAACAATAGATCTTGGGAAACGAATGAATTTTAACTGAATGTCAATGGTGACAATCACCGGTTGAAATCAGGTTAAAACTATTTCTTTTCACTTCGCTATTGCTTTTTTATGATACGATCTAATAACGCGGTAGAGAAAACTGCGCGTGATGATCATAATGAAGCACAAGCGAACGTGAAAAAATGCGCGAACGAAATAAATTTAATACATAAGAAATCCACATTCTTCGCTTGTAATTCCATTCTAATAGAAATCTGAAGGAAAATTGAAAGTTTGTCCGAAAAATTGAAATCTTTCACGAGATTTTTGCTGAGAAAACTTCGACTGCGAAATAAATCAGGAAACCAATTAATAAAATTAATTTAATTTAATTCAATTTAATTTAAGGTATCGATAGATACATTCGAGACAATTGTTTAATAAAAGATATAAGTTTACACATCTTTCAACTAAATAATAATTATTAATTGAACATATAAAAATAATTTAAATTAAATATAATATTAATATTAAATCTAACAAAATATGTCTTTGCGACTTAAATACTAATATATATTCAATTAACAAAATAGTAGGTAATTTAATTGAAAAATTTAGTCAAGTTAACAATTTCGTTCAGTATGCACGTATATATGTTCACACATTTTATTCTCCTCTTTAGAATTCATTTTACATAAAGAGGAATATTTTGCCACAAAAATGCTCCTTAATTTTAACACATGCCGCTTTCGTTCGAACTAGTGTATTAACGAAAACACTTTGCGGTAGTCTTTTTTTCTGTTCCGAAACGGGATTTACACTTATTACTTTATTTACTGAGTATACGATGGTCAATGTAGGACCTTGCCAGATTTACATTTGTGCGTTCGAACGAGGTGGTACGGAATATACAGCATCACCCATCGCTCATCACAACGGTACTTTCATGACAAGGAGGCCGCCGCATCATCATCTACGTCGTCTAGCTTACAACTTTTCGTACCGATGGCACTGATATACGCATGCGTTAACTCGAAGACATTTACAGTCATCTACTATCTTCTCTACTCATGCATGTATAGCGATGAGGAAAAAGATATATATGCAATATTTAATCAAATGAGATAAAACAAGAGTCAATTATATATTTCGTTTGATTTGCGTCTTCATTACATTTGTAATAATATATTTTTTATTCCTGTAATACGAGAACGTCGGGGAATATTTTTTCGAGATTTTACGAAAACGGTATTCGCGCAATTTTTCTTCGATTTTATGGATCTTTCTACCTTGTAGAAAAAATATCAGCGACCGGAAATACCGAATGCATTCCACCCCGTCGCGTATATATCCAAGAAATTCTTAAAAGGTCTGTCACAAATCTGTTAAAGATTTTTACGCGGATACATCTTATAATAAATGTTGCAGTTTATATAGTTCCGTAAAAACAGTACCGCTTTTTAAAATTAATTAGAATCTTGTGTGTAATTGATCATAATTATTTTAATATTAATTGCATCGATCACCGGACATCATTTTGTCATAATAAAAGCAATTATTGTATCACGCAATTAATATTGAAATAATTATACTCCATTACAAGTTCGATCGATGTTAAAAAGCGGTACTTTTTTTACGTAATATTATCTCATTATCTTGCTGGCATCGATAAAAAATAAGGTTGCAAGTAGCACAAAAGGTAATTTATCTTTTTCTCCAGCAAAAACATTCTGTAAACGAAATATTCGCGAAAGGCAAAACCGTTTATCTGACCCGCTTATTATAGAATCCACAATATTTCAATTTAAATAATGGATAGAATATATAATCATAGTTATAAAGATATAGAGAATATTGTGTGTATATATTTAATTAATTCAAGAAAATTATATTGGTTTTATAAGTAAGAACATTATTATAGAAACAAGTCTATATATTGATAATAATAACACAAATGCAGTCATGTAAAACATTTATCTAATTTTTTTATATACCTCTCTACACTGAAAAAAATTGTTTAACTTGACTAAACCTTTCAAATAAATATTATTTTATTAATTAAATATATAAAAATATTTAAATTAAATATATTAAATCTAACGAAATGTATATTTGACTCAAATACTAATATATGTGTTTAATTAACAAAATAGTAATTTAGTTGAAAGATTTAGTCAAGTTAACAAATTTTTCAGTGTATAAGACACAGGAAAGATTTTTAATTTTGACATACCTATATTGTTGGTAACTAAGACTTATAAAATAAGATTTTCAGTCTAGTAGTGTTGTAAGTGTTTCGTTGAAGGGTAGACTAATAGTTTAGAAGCGTTTCCAAGCGTAAAATTATCCTTTATTTTCAAACATTAAAATAGAGCGTATCAGTATGCGATTCTAAACATCCTATATATTCTCCAACTCTCTTCACTTCCGTTTCGCGTAATATACCATATCGGCGCACAACATGGACTGCTAGCGATTCATTGCTATCATATAGCATTCAAGAAAATGTCAGCTGCAACGTCAGCAACTAAATATGCAAGAATATTGCTGTTACGCAAAATTTTGCGAAATAATATGGCTCAAACTTGAAGCAAATACTAGATAAATATTATCGATAAAGGTTATATATATTTATCTTTATTATTATAGTAACATAATAATAGATTTATAATCAAGATAGGTATATTGGAAAAAATATATTTCCAATTTTCATTGCAAAAAATTATATGAAAAATTGAATAACATATTTTAATTATGACAACAATTACGTTAATGTAATCATATCAATATTTATAAGGACATTATAATATAATATGTAATTACAAATGCACATACACAATTAAAGTAATATTATAATTATATAAAATATATATTTAAATACAATAAATTCAAATTTATATTTCCTCATTGTAATTACAAAGAAAAATGAAGAAAGAATTGTATTAAACGGAATAATCTTTTTACTTCACACGACTTCGAACGATAGACCCGTACATTTAATTAAATGCAATGCGTTATGCAAGATGTTAATGCGCGGTAATGATTATACGTATCTGCATAATGGCTGATTACGAGGACAGCAACGAGAAGGTGAAGGAAGAAAAAAAATCAGGAGAAGGGAGGTATAAACGTACGACTTTCTCCGATGCAAAATATGTATGCCGTCGCCTTCTTAGCTCATCTCCAGAGGCTACGCCTCTTCTTATTTTCACTTTTCGTGGATTAAACCCACGCACTAGCAGCCAGACGCTAATTAAGTTCGCAATTAAGAATGCAATACGATCAGATTACTTCTAAACGGTAGTTTTATTAGAAAGTTTCGAAGTACTGTTATTTATTATCGTTTATTTTTATGTAATACATACAAAGGAAATTTCCGCATTTTATAGAACATCTAAATTTTTTTAATTTTTAAATTTGGATTTATCTCTCATATGTATATACTTATATTAAATTCAAGGTGAGAAATGCATCGTGAAAACGAATGTTGTTATTAATAGAAAAAGATGAAAAATTGAGTATTAAAATTATATTTTCGATCATCTTAATATTTTAATAAACTTTTCTGCAAAAATATGTAAATTTTCATGAAAACAATAAAATTCATTCACGAGAGGGAGTCAATTTAATGCAATCTGTGTTATTTCACGCTGCGTTGAACGACAGGATTTTTTAATTCTACTTGACCGCGAAGTGCACCTCTCAGCTTGAAGCTCAAAGCGTTTCTCCTCCGCTGCGCGTTGCGCGATAAATATCGCGGAAAATTCGCGGCTGTTAAAGACTCGGATGGAATGTGGGAGCTAAACGTCCAGTTATCCCGGCATAGATTTATCGTTCCACTTTCGTGGGCTGCCGATCCGTACCTGACCGCGGTCGTAGCCGCGCTGGCAGCTCGAGATTTTACTCCGTTGCGAGTCTAGCCTCCGGATTGTAAATCTTCGCAGTGCGGTGAGACGCAGCTGTTATCGTCGTGCGGTATAATATTAAGGCGATTCCAACGGTCCATTATTACAAACGTATCAGCTTAATATAAATTTAAATTTAATACCATAATTTTATTTAAAATAATAATTTTTACAGTAATAATTATTATATATTATACATATAATATATATATATATATATATATATAATAATTTAGATTTCATATAATAATTTAAATATTTGATATATAATAAAATGTAATATTGTATAATAAAATTTAAATTTAAATATTATATAATTTTTTTTATTTTTACGCTATATAGCGCAATATAAATTAGTGTCTTGTATGACAAATTTAAAAATTGTTCTAAAAATTCTTTTTACAATTTTTGCGAATTAATAAAAAAATTTTGTTCGTGCTCTTGATATTATAATGCAACATAATTACAGCGAGGGATCATCACCTTCCTCTGCGTTTAGCGGAAAAGCTATATTTCTCTTTAAATCTTATGAGACGAATGCTTTCGTTCACATGGTTAATTGCACGATTCACTGTGCTTCGTGCTTGTAAGAAATCTGTGACTCGCGTGTCACGAGATATTTTTGCGAATGCACCAGACACGCCGTTAATGCACGCGACTCTGCACACGAGATTCTCCGCGAGCTATATATGTCGATTTCACCGGTACGAGCTTAAACCAGGAA